TTGTCTTACTTGTCAGTGGACTTTCAGTGCATAGCACACTCAGTGTACTCCGGAGTAGGAGCTGGTAAAAAAATTATGCAAAATCTAGAAAAAAAGGCAAGAAAAATTACTGTGTGCCTTTTCACTGTCATCTTAGATCATTGACTAATAGCTCCCTGTATGCTTGGGGGCATATACTAACCATTTATTAAGGCCTCATCATGTCAAAGATTAATAAGTTACAAAATATTTATCTTATAAACCAATAACCAATGATTTCTGTCTACTAGAAATGATAACTCACAATCATGGCTTTATTGATTTAAGAGACATCAGTCATTTGGGCATCCATCTTTGTGATTTTATCCCCACATTACATGTTCCAATGCCCATATATACTTATGGCTCTTGTATCTTTATTTGCACAATCTTCGTAATTTTGCTCGTTCCCTCGTTAAGGAATCAAATGGACCTTTGACAGGTGTTCACTCCATACGTGTAGGGCAGTTATTATTTTTCTCTTTTTGCAAATTATGCTTTGAGAAAGCAACTGAGAGTACCACTAGTCTTTGATGCCTTAACTGGCTGATTGATCCTCTGAATAAACTGATAAGAGTCCTCAGGTAGAGAAGGTTAGGTGGGCAAAAGGATGAAGAAAATAGAGAAGTACTGAAAAAGATAGTTCTGTTCTTGAAAAGTTTCTAAAGACAAAGGGGAAACTCAATGCCCACACCTTGAAAGATTAAGACTCAGTTTGAACTGTCGTATATGTATACCAGGGAGTACTTCTCAGCCATAAGGAAATAGGGAGACTTTACAGCTTTTGTGTTTACCTGGGTGGCACTGAAACATACTCTTCTTAGTAAAATATCATAAGACTGGAAAAAAAAGTATCCAGTGTACTCAATACTAATGTGAAACCAATATATAAACCACTACACACCCACCCAGAAGAAAAACACAAGTACAGTCTAGCGAGGAGAATGGGGGAGGGAAGGGGGGAAGAATGGAGTGATTGGTGGGATCCACCTAATGTGCACCAGGTGAGGGCGTTCAGCACACCTGGGCCAAGGGCTCAACTACAACTTGAACTTTACCTTCGAAATGAAAACAAGGTGACCTAAACATTTGTACCCTAATATCAATCTGAAATTTAAAAAAAAAAAAAGTCTCAATTGGAGAGACTCCGGTCTAGAAGCAGAATATACACAGAAGGGCAGTTGTGTTGGCTAAAATTTTCTCAGAGAAATAGACTCAAGGTGCCGAGAGAACCAGGAATAGGGAGCTCTGAGCACAAGCTGTGTGCAGACACTGTTGGTGCTCCCACCATCTGTCCTCCCACCTTTTCTCAGAGAACAATGATTAACTATTTCCCCGTTCTACTTTGCAGTAAATGGTGGCCATGTGACTGAGCCCTTCTTAGTGGAATTTGTCGCCTCTAGACGTGGCCCAGAAAAGCTTCCCAAGAGCAATTTTCATTCTGTCTTATCCTGCTCAGTGGCAGAATGGAAAGGGCCCTAAGGAGTTGGAGGAGGGCCCAGCCATTACTGAAAGGAGCCTTGATCTCTCAAAGACCATGTGGGGTGGTTTCCCTCCTGGCCCACACTGGAAGTGAACCTTTATTGGGTCAGGCCATGGAGATCTGGGGGTCGCTTGACAAGCAGCCTACCCTGGTTGTGGGAAGCTTTAACTCAGACCTCTTCCTTCAAGAAGTTCCCCCAACCATCCAGTCTCCAGTGACCATAGAACTAAGGTTTGCCCGCAGCGAAAGAACCGGTAGGATGATGGGAAAAAGCATCTCAGGCAGAGGGAGCAACATGGACAGAGGCTGGGAAATGGTTAGAGAAAGGGGAATCAATTTTGGAAATGGAAATCACAGAGTTCTCTGCCTGCCAAGTTTGTAGTTGCGTAGTCCAGTTCTCTCTGGCATGGCTTTGAGAAGAATCAACACCCCTTTTCCCTCCACCACGGTAGGCTCCTGGACCTCAGGGATTGTATCTTATTTTTCATTTCAACCCCTTTCCTTTATGTGGCCTGGCACACGGCTCATGTACTCATGGGGCCACACTGCCTTGCCTGTCTGAGATTTCTCATCCTAAGATGGCACAAGCCACACTCACAGGGTCACGATGACATTTAAATTAAAGAATGCATTCCAAGTGTTCATCACAGAGCCTGGCACGCAGACCATATTCAACAAGTGTAAGCTGCTAATTTCATTAGCATAACTGTTTGTGGAAGAAAGAAGGAGGAAGGGAACGGGGGATAGGACAGAGAATGGCAGGGAGGGGGGGATGGATGCACAGAGGGGCGTCCAGCTCTCCCATTTCATTTTCTCACTGAGCTAAAGGAGAAAGTCAGATGCTCTTTGCCCACTACTTTGGGAACAAACCTTCCTGTACCTCGTTTTTCAAAGCGGCTGTTTAGGAGGCCCTGATGTGACACATTGGGTCAAGCATCAGTGCATACTGCCAAGGGCAAGGGTCAGAGGAAGAAGAGAGCATGCTGACTACAAGGGGACAGAGGGAACACAGGGTCCTTTCGCGAGGAACACCCACCCCCGGCTCCTCGGGCTGGTGTCCATTTGCCACTCACACACCGAGGCCAGGCATGGGGGGCCGGGGCCGTGGGGAAGCACCCTGGAGGGTTTGCTGTGTCCTTGGCCCATGTCCCTGGGATCTGATAAAAAAACCAAAGGAACAGCGAGAACCTGGCGCCTTCTTTTCGGGGGACTGTGTACCTGATAAGTTGTATTTTTATGATAAAATTCATGACATTGAGAGGCCATGGAGCCAAAGATGTGGGCTAGGCTTGTAAAGTGCAATGAATTCCAGAGAGTTTTAAGGCCAGTCCCATCTGCCTGGGAGGGGGCGTGAGGAGAAAGGGAGGGAAATGGGAAATGTCTGTCCCTTTGGACTGGCTCTACCACTGCCCCAGATTAGCAGGGAGTGAGGCCAACAGGGGCAATCTGGGGTGAGGGCTGGGAGACTGGGGGTTGGGAAGAGTACAGAACGCCCAGATGGGCAGATCCCCGGGACGGGTCTGAGGCAAACAGGCAGCTTCTCTGAGAACTAAGATTTTCATAGATGCTTTGCTTACAACAGGGCCAACAGCTAAGTGGCCCCAGGGACAGCCCTGTGAAAGGCACGCACAGAGCCTTTCTGTGCCTGGAGCAGCCTTTGCCACCACTGGCTCCATGGAGGTGGCTGCAACACACCCTGGAGGACGGGGTGGGGGATCAAAGCCCTCCACCTTCACCTTGGTTTGGGGGAAGAGAGAGGATGTAAGTAATATACATTAAAGCCTTAATTACAATTTCAAGCCTTCGTTTAAAGATGGTCTAGTTTCATTTCACGACTAATACTCAAGGAAGCCTTCCGAGGTTCACCTGAAGATGTAAAAGTATTGGGTGCAGGGTCATCCTAACAGGGAAAGACTGGAAACTTCTACACCCTTGCTGTGAAGCCTGGTTAGCAAGTTATGGCACCACATCTAAAAGCTACATATTAATAGATAATTAGACACACACCTATGGGGGAGGGGAGCACACCCAGATGTTAATATTGATTATATAAGGACAGTGTGCTAAGAGGTAATTTGTTTTTCTATTTTGAAGTCTAGAGGAACTCCACCTTCCTTTGTTTATATATACTCATTATTAACAAAAGTACAATAGTATAGACAGAAAAATAGAAACCACAGACATTCTGGTTGCTCTTCATTTTCTTTCTTTCTTTTTTTTTTTGGCAGTTTTTGTCCAGGGCTGGGTTTGAACCTGCCACCTCTGGCATATGGGGCCGGCGCCCTACTCCTTTGAGCCACAGGCGCCGCCCTACTCTTCATTTTCTTCTCCTGCTTTTCTGTATTTTCAAGTCCAGTATAAAGGGTTTTACCCTTTGAACTAGAACAAGCCCCAGGTCTCCATGTTTCAGGAGGCCAGCCTGCCCCTGACACAGAGCGCTCTCTGCCTTGGCCTAAGGGTCTGCACTCTGGTCCCCGGCTGGGCCTCTGTCCTCAGGCGCTGTGAGCACACGGGACCAGAGCTTAGCTGGGACCTTAGAACAGTCATTCACCCTCACGGGGCCTCTCCACTCTGTCTCCACATGGAACCATCTGCCTTCGGGAAGAGCGAGTTTCTCATCAACTATAGAGACCCATTCAAATGTGGGAAGAAATCAGGATCTCGAGGGAGGGGGAAAGCTCCCCCCTGAGCTGCACTAAACCCCTGTGATGGAAATAGTTCAAGCCACTGAAAGCTCAAAGAGTCATTTTCCCAGCACAGAGTCAAGGGCGGCCCGCCCAGGGAGGCTGTTGCAACTGGGCTGCCATCCCGAGGACCCTCTGCCCCAGAGAACAAGGAGTGATACGATCCCCCACCCTGGCCCCTACTCAAAAATCATTAGGACACAAGACCCCATTCCTGATCCCCTTCCTGGTATTTCAGACCTTTTAAAACTTGTCCCCAGCCCCTGCCCAGCTGCATTGTTCATCCTCACGCCCAGCACACTGACCAGCCATTCCCCAGACCTCCCGATACTTTCAGGACTGGTCCTCTCAGCCTTTCCTTGTTGGGCTCCCAACTTCTACTCAGTTTTTGAGATCCAGTCCCAATGTTGCCATTCCCCACCACCCTTGCAGCTGGCAGACTTGTTAGCACAAGCCATTTTTTCCTGAGCACTTAATTTAATCCTCCATAGATGTACAAAGGCAGAAACAGAGACAATTTACATCTGCATGTGTGTCTGTGTATTTATACCTAGAGTACCTAGAGACAGTCATTTCTGAACAGCAATTATTATTTGCTCTAACAATAATGCCCATGGTAATGATTCTGACAGTAATGTCATGGTAATCTTCACTTCTGCAACCCTGGCAGTAGTAGGAACTCAATAAAGGTTTGTTGAAAAAGTAAACACAATTCTCCAAGTGAAGGATGGGGGAGGAAGGGAAGGGAGGGGAGGACGGGAAGGGAGGGGAGGCAAGGAACTGGAAGAATCTTGTCCTATGGGCTATGGACTCACTGGGTGGTCTGCATCCAGTTCCGCTCCATAGCTGAGAATCTGATTGGCAAATCTGTCCAGCTCCTGGATGGTTTTTGGGAACCAGGGCACTGCAACACAGAAAAGGCAGAGTCTTGAGTTAGCCTCGCAGGACATGGCCCAAGGCCTTCCTGAGATAGGAGCATAGGATCAACCCAAATTGGTCAAGTCAATTGTGACGGCCTGTGGCGTTCATGATAAACCCAAATTACTATGATTCAAAAATTAGATTATTTTTTCCTTAGAAACCAATTTTAAAACACATTCCCAAACATGTCTATTTCCTGAAGATTTTCTCTGAATTAGCTCCACACTCTCCCCCTTCCCGCCCATCATGGTAGCTGTCTTTGATGGTTTTATTAGCAGAAGAATATTGCATACAGGTCCAACATAAGAATCAGATAAAATCAGAGATATTCTACTGTAAACAAGACTGAGTTCATAAGACCCTCATCTTTCCACCATGTGTCTCCCACCCAGAGACCCCAGGCACTCTGGCAAAATCTTTTGACCCCAAAGCCAGTTAGAGAGGGACTGTGGAAGCCCAGTGAATGGAGTCAGGAAGTTTGGCAATCACGGATGCCTCTCAGCATCTACAGAACTCGTGGACTTGCTATTGAGGCCCCATAGTGAGGACCTGGGCTGTGTGGTCTACAATGCCTGGGTGCTGAAGAGAGAGAGTCCATGGTAGCACCAGATCCCTGTAGCTCACAGGAGAAAAAGACACCCTGGAGGTGGAATTGCCCGGGAATGGAAGAGACTAGGACATTTTGGACTGTAAATTCCATGAGGGCAGAAACCACCAGCACTTTGCAGTTCTAGGAACATAGAGGAAAGGAAGGAAGGAAGAAAGGGAGGGAGGAAAAGAGGGAACTAACTCATTCTGGTTACACACATAGCGCTAACAGGGACCACCAACCACAGTGTGTCTGCTCTGCTCCCTTTCTCAGTGTGTCCACAGTAAGGAAGGTCTTGGAACCCTTACTGTACAGACGAGAAATTGAGGCTCTGAAATCCTAGTCTCTGGGTCGGGATCACAGCAGGAGTGAGAAAGTGGTAGATCCAAAGAATGTAGAGGGCTGCAGTCACGTGGCAGGGACCCCCAACTGAGCTTTCCTGAAATGAAGCTGGGGAGGGGAAGGGGCGGTGTGCAGGGGTTGGGGGTGTGTGTCCTGGACCTGAGTCAGCCTCAGGCCTCCTTAGAATCCAGGCCCCACCTGTCTGTTCCCTTCTTTGTGCCTCAGTCTTTCCTCTGTAAAATGGGAATTAATGCGAATGCCAAGAGCGAGAATGACACGTGTGTTGAAGCCTTACCATATGCCAGCACTTGTGCTTGGCATTTTGCGGGGAATGGCTCCTTTAATCCGAGGACTGCTGTGAGCAGTAAGTGAGGACTTAGGAAGAGGGCTCAGCTCAGCTCAGCTCAGCTCAGCTCAGCGCCTGACACCTAAAACGCGGCTTTCTTGCTCTGCTCACGTGTTTATGCTGATGCTGAGCCGCTCAGGTAGGGCAGGAAGAGCATGCGTGCCATCTAGTGGCCAATCTGGGGAACTGACCTAAACAGGAGCCTTGGGACTGGAAGCGGCTGTTTTCCACCCAAACAAGAAGCGCTTATCACAAAGGTGTCCCTAAGAGTCAATGTAAAGCCTTGTTTACTTAGATCAGAGGGGCTTAAACTCTCTACTGCCCATATTAACAACAAAAACTAACACCACATGCTGTTTGAAATCTTTCTCTACGAGATGGATACTGTCGGTCGCCCCATATTCTACACGGGGAAACTGGGGTGCAGAGAAGTTATGCAGCAAACCCCAATACACACATTGCTAGTAAAGAGTGGAGTCAGGATTCAAAGTCAGGTCTACCTGACCCCGTGGTCTCTGATCTTGACCACTGATTCATTCTGTGACTTCTGGAAAGGTGCAGAGCGTGCTGGTGAGGAGGGGGCCTTCCCTAGAATCTTCCATGTCCCGACAGCCCAGTGCACACCCCAGATCGCTCCTCTAGGGACAGAAGCAGACACTACAGTTGTCATTCCAGCTAATCCCTCCGTGGCACTGGCTTTGTGTCAGACACCTCCCTGAACGCTTTACATATGTCCCTTCCTTCAATCCTCACAGCAGCCTCCTGAGCTGCGCGGAATCATCCCTGTTTCACAGATGAGGACGCCGATAGATCTCCTCAGTTCTGACTTCCGAGACTTTGGCGCTCGGGATGACTCAGCGCAGTGCTCACTCACCTGACATAGAACTTGGCTTTCCACTTTGTCACTTACCCCCCCCCCCCCACAAACACACACACTTTCCTTTCACTTTGAGTCCATAATTTGCTCTGCACAATAAACCTCTACTTTCAGTACCAGAAATGAGGGTTGTTTCCCACCCAGGTTTAGAAGAGCCTGGGAACTCTCCACTGGAGTCAGCCAGGGCTCAGGCCCTCCCACGAAACCTTTCCTGTTTCTCTAGAATTCTGCCACCCCGTGGCTTCAATGAGTATCACCCACCTGAACAATGGGCCGGTCCCTCCCCTCTGTGCTCAGGACCATTGATAACCCCCTTCCCTCACCTTAAGGCATCTCTTTTCCTTTCAATCACCATCTCGCTTTTGCCTTGGAATCATCATAATTATGGCAGTCACAGCAGCCCCAGAATCAAGGCAAGCCAGCCCTGTCTTGCTATACTCCCTTCTGACTTTGGGGACCCCTAGACTCAGTGAGAGAGTCCACAAATATATACTGAGCACCTGCTGTCTACCAGGCCCTGGACATGGAGGGGGGCATACGAGAGAGTCTCAGTCCCTATGGTGCTTCTATTCTAGGGGGGACAATATGAAATAAGCAATGAATACATTTAAATATGGAACAAGGCCAGGAAGTTCTTGAAACAGAAGAGAGCAGGGTAGAGAGGGGGACAGCACAGAGGATGCTTCTTTTTAAAATTTATTTTTGAGGATTTTTTGAATTTTCATAGGGTATAATTGACAAATAACTATTATATATATTCAAGGCATACAATGTAATTTTTGATATATGTATACATTGTGAAATAATTACCACAATCACGCCAATGAACACATGCATCATGCCATATAATTACCATGTGTCATGTGTGTGGGGGAGGGAGGATGAGGGCACTCACGATCCCTTAGCAAATGTCAGCTATGCAATAAAATATTAACTATAGTCCCTATGCTACAGGTTAGATTCCCGGAGGTTATTCATCATATAATTAGAACTTTGCATCCTATGACCAGCATCTCCCCATTTCTTCATCCCCTGCCATTGGCAGCCACCATTCTATTCTTTGCTTCTATGAATTCAATTTTGTTTGATTCCTTACATAAGGTAAGTTCATATAGTATTTGTCTTTCTGTGTCTAGTTGGCTTGCTTCTCTTTGCATAATGTCCTCGAAGGTCACCCATGTTGTAGCAAATGACAGGATTTCCTTCTTTTTATGGCTAAATAATATTCCTCTCTCTATGTGTGTGTACCACGTTTTATCCATTCATCCACTGGTTGACACTTAGGTTGTTTTAATGCCTTGGCTACTATGGACAATGGCGCAGTAAACATAAGAGTGCAGATGCCGCTTTGAAATACTGATTTAATGTCCTTTGAACATAGGCCCGGACATGGAATTGCTGGACTATAGAAGTCCTATTTTCGAATCTGTGAGGAACATCCATGCTATTTTCCATAATGGCGACGTCAATTTACACTCCCACTCCAAGTACATATGGGTTCTCTTTACTCTTGTGTCTTTTTGCTGTCAGTCAAGAGATGTTCTCTTCTTTGACATTCTATGCCAGGGGTTCTCAAACTTTTTAAACAGGGGGCTGGTTCACTGTCCCTCAGACCTTTGGAGGGCCGACTGAGGGCCTGGGATGAGTTGACTGCTATGCAGGATAGGCAGCGGTGGCAAAAACACCCGGCAGGCTGGATAAATGTCCTAGGAGGGCTGGATGTGGCCTGAGGGCCGCAGTTTGAGGATGCCTGTTCTATGCCTCCAGGTCCCAGGGTGAAGATCCTGGTGATCTGACTGCCTTGCCATAGCTCAGTGAGGTGTGGGAGTTTAGGATAGTGAGCGTCTGTCCCCAGTCTGTAGCTGGCTTCCTGTTCGCCTCAGGGAAGGTCAGTCTAGCAGTGAGCTGAGACAACAGAGCCGGACAGCCTGGCTTGAATCCTGCACTCACTCTCTGCAGGACTCAGGCAACATTATTAAACCTCTTTCTGCTTCAATCTTCCTCTCTGTGAAATGGTGACTACAGCAGGCCTATACAATACCACATTATAAGAACAACATGAGGTTAAATGACTTAATATGTGTTGTTTGCAGAGAACAGTGCTGGCACCTAGCAAGTACGGTTACTGTTCAGGTGTAAGCCACAGGATATGCAGTGCACACATATTTGTGTATCTGTATGTAATGAGTATATATATAGTGTGTATACATATATTTTTTCACTCTGCCGTAAGCTCACTGTAGCACAAAGGACAGAGTAGAAAGTTTTTCATCAAGGCTAGGAAGCCTGCCCCTTATTCTGTTGTGTAACCAGGCGAGTATTTTATTTCTCAGAGCCTTAGTTTGGTCATCCACAAAACAGATTAACATGATCTTTCCATACTATCGGGTGAATTAAATGCTACAGTGCATGTGACACATCTTGGCAGAGTGGCCCTTCATAAGTGCTCCGTCAGTGTTAACCATCAGGACGGTGAAGATTTTAATGATGGTGATAAGGATGATGATTATGAAAGAGGAGGGAAGAACGGAGATGGAGGCAGCAGCTGTCTGTCTGTCCAGCTTTGATAGCAACAGGCTCTCAGTCTTGGGCCTCAGTTTCCTCTCTGCCACATAGGTGTGGGATCCATCTGTTGCCTCAGCCCTTTTCAGGGTTCATAATTTGAAGACCTGTGAAATCCTGGAAGGGCTGAGGCTGGGCCAGGGGACTCATGGAAAGACAGTTCTGCTTCAATCAATGTGTCAACCTCGTTTCTTCCCCACATTTGTTCAGCTCCTGGTCTACGGCCTCATTTCCTTTTCTCCTTTCTCCAAATAAAGCAGGTTCTTC